CCACAGTCGTTTTCCGGATTTTGTGCGCACAACTTCTCTTTCTCTGCTAACTCGGATTCAATTTTGGGAATTATTGCGAGAAAGACCTGAAATTATTTTAATGTTTCAAAATTTTGCAAGTTTTATGTAATAGAAAATGCCCGAGTTCCTGTTATTACTGAAAAAAGAAAGCATCAGTGTTTGTGTCAGGTGCCTTGGAATTTATTCAGGTGAGCCCTTTTCTATTCTTTTTGCCTATCTTGAAATCGCGAAATGATCTGCATTGTTTCGAATTCTTGATGGCAATCGGCATTTCCTGTAGGACAAATTTTGACCTCACACCGAATTTCGTCTTTTTATTTCGAAATTGTCCTCGACATTATATCATCACGAGGTTTCATCTCCGGGATTTTTGTTCAAATTGCTTCTAATTCGAAGAATGGCACTTGAAGACTTGAATCTTTTTGTTCGGCTCTTTTGTTTTGCTTTGACTTTGACCCAGTAATTTTCCTCTAGCCTTTTGAACAAATGCCACTCAGGAAAAAAACGTATATATCTCTGATACATTATACGGATGACACACGATCTTGCCTTTTCAATGTTGGGTTTGTCACAGTTCTCTGACATGGAAAATGTTTTCTAATAGATTCATTGTTGAGAATAAAAAAAAGCGCTGCGGGTTTATAATATAGGTCAATTTGTATCCGAATGAAATGATTGGCGTTTCATTGCCTTTGCACTCTCATTATGTACTACGTCACTTTTTTTCATCTCGACCAACGCGTGTGTTCTTTTAATTATTATTGTTAAAATACAAATTACCAAAACTCGGTATAAAAAAGTTAATTGCTGACAAAATTTAATTCTTATCTCGACGAGGAAGGCGAGAATAATTTCGAATACAATTAATTTTAGACGGCTTTCCCACGCTTTATGGGTGTCTCTCTCACTTTTAAAGGTCAGAATATGAGTGATGTTGCCGGTTTGCTAATGAAACGGCGGCAGCGTGGGCATTCAGATTCGGAAGCATAAATTCACCTTTTGTTGTTGTGAAAACTTAAAATTTATTACAATCATATTTATAATTTAGTCAATTGTGAATGAAATTAAATTTTCATTTGCTATGTTTTTTAATACAGTATAAAAAAACTGCTTATAAAAAAAGTTAAAATTTAAGATCGTCATACAAAGTTGAAATCCATCTTTAACTAGCAGAAACTTGGATTTTGAACAAAATAAAAAGTCTGAAAAACATTATCTTTTTACGAATGGAATGGGATAATAATTTTATATATTAATTTACTTATAACCGCACCCGTCATTTTATTTCTATTTCCTTTTTACTTTAAAGAAATGAAAGTTGAACAAATTAAATCTAATTTTATGGAGTAACAAGCAATTTTAAGCCAACTTCTTTTTACTTCTGGACCACTGAAAATGACCTGCTCTTTCACTCGCCGCTCTTACATTTCCGCATTGCCCTCTCCAACCCGCGAGGCTAATGGTCCCTGTTGCTATATATGAAGCATAATTAGGCTCATCGTGACGCACCGCACTTTGCATAATTAAGGCAAACAAAAGGAGCAGCGGTCGTCGCCTCTTCATTTCAGTGCGTGGAAAAGTGCCCGGCAACTTTTGCGTAACTGTGATGAGAGCACCGGAGGGCGCGTTCCAAAGTCTGTGAACTTTCTCTGATTGCTCTGCTATGCTACAGCGCCAAAATAAAAATCTTGACGCGATTTTGCATAATGAAATCAACACCCACTGCAAAGGGAACAATGGTTTCTTGTTTGCTTTTGTTAGGATAATTCCCCTGAAAGAAAAAGAGAGATTATTTGGAAATATTAACTTCATTCACTCTTTTTAATGCAATATTTTTGTAAGCGTAAAACCCAAAGAAACCACTCGAAACGGGAAATAATTAAATTAGTCAAGGCGATTAGTCACAAGTTTAGTATTAATTTAATGCAATTATTTTATTACTAAAAGATATTTTTTTATCCTTCTGTATTCTTTTAAAATGTTTCAAAGTAAAACAAAAAACAGGACCAAAAATTTAATGCACTAGAGTTAGAATTAAAAAAGTCTAGAATAGATTAAAATAAATAATTTAAAATTTCTCAAATACATAAAAAAGAATTCAATTTTTATTAGATTAGGAAATTTTATTGAACACAACATGTGTACGACTTAACAGGAGAAGAAATCCAATTTTTATAATATCAATAAAAGCCGTATGAAAATCTGAACCGGATCAAAAGTTGTAAATAAGTCACAAAAATTCGCAAAAATTACACGCACCGATTTGAATTTGGAACTATTGCACGCGTGAGTTATGAGGCGAGAGGCGATTTATGAACAGGTTTGGCACCGCGTGTCCTCAAGTCGAATAATTTAATCGCGCCAACGAGCAAATTATTATATCACCCGGCTGGGCGCGATCAAATGGAAAGTATGCGCGCCCAATTATTTATGCATATAATTATGTTATTATTGCACACATTATTTGATACAAACAGCTTTATTGTGTCTGATCCCGCCCAGAGATGCCCTGAATTTGCATATTGGCCCATTGTGCAATTCAACTGGAAAAATTTGTGCGTCGATGATATCATTTGATACTCGGGTCTAATTGCGGAACCTGTTTAGGAATTGATATATTTTTGAAATAAGCGGTCCTGATCCTTGCGTCAGGGGTCGAGTTTTGTGCGAATTCGTTGCCAAATATTGGCGCGTCTCGAGTTGCTACACGAAATTCTCACTTTACGACCCGAAAGCTGTGAGAAAATGTTTACCAATAGAGCCTGAATCTAATTTTACTTTTGATCTAGATAATTTCTAGATGGGTGAAGCTCGCAGAAGAAAGTAAATTAAATTTTAATGTCCCAGTTTTGGAGAAATCCACCTGATTTTCTCAAATAATAATGTATTATTCTACATTTATTAATTTAGGAATATTGATTCTCGGTAATCTTTTTTCCTAGTCAGTTTTTTCAGTTTCCCTAAAAATTTCAACTTTTTTAGTTGCAAAACCTTAAATTTTCCTTATAAAAATATAAGATTAATTCAAGAAAATTTATAATAATTGATATATGCATACTGGTAAAGATTTTCATTGCATTTTAAAATTGATTCCTTGGTTAAAACAACCAAAATTTTAAATTAAAATTTTATCCTTTTAAAATGAAGCATAATTAATAATATTAGAATAATTCAAAATTATTTTTAAAAAAGGAAAATTTTGCCATTTTGTTAGACTTTGATAATTTTATAATTTGTAGAATGTGGATTTGAAAGAGCTCAATACGAGTTTACAGAAATTAGTCAATTTAATTGATTAAAATTGACACCAATAAAGTAATTTTCCGATAAATTGTTACTGCGTTTGTGTAAGAAAATTATAAGAGCGAATTGATTGTGTTATGCATATTTTTCTTCAATTTTCAATTTGCATTGGCTGCTTGCGATAATTATTGTTTATTGAGAACGACAAGGAGGGGAATTAAGATTGGCGCAAATCGACATTATTACAATATGCAATATGGAAAGCGAGCGTCTGATGATAATGAAAAAGAGCAAGGCTTCGGTCACTGACTGACGTATGGCACTCGTACGTATTTACACGGCCAATAATCAGCAAAGGCTGCTTTATTGATTTTTATGCGCGCTGCGAGATCGAGGAAAATCGTCGCCGTCGGCTGCGAATTCATTATACGAGCTCATTTAGTTGACGAGAAAAGAAGGCGCGCGTGGTCGGTACAAAATAATAACGCACTCACAATCCCAAGGTTTCACGCGAGGATATATTTGTATGCAGCTGATGGGCCATTCATTCCAGACCACGATATATTCGTTCCCAATTTGCATTTTTATCTAAAGAAAGAAAGGAAGGTCCTTGCCGGAAGACGAAAAGTTGCCTTAATTAAAACTTAAAAGTCCTTTAAAAGAAATAGTAATAATTTTTTTCTTACAATAATAATTAGAGCATATTATAATATTGTAATAATTTTTTGATTGTTATTAATCATACATGTTTTTTAAATTTTAATTATTACATAATATGAAATATTTTATCTCCACTTGTGACCACTTATGATAATTTGTAAACAAATCCAATGTTCAATGAAAATCAAAGTTACAATCAAATCGTCTGTCGGCCAAAACTTGTCCACCTACAAGCTCTCAATGAATAGGAGATTTTTCAACTTTTTCAGATTAGATAATATAGCAAAAAAATCTGGAATACCACACGTTCGCGTCTTATCAGACGCGATTTTGTGTCAAAATCCATTCGCACAATCAAAACGCTTTGGAGCAGAGTGGACTCTTTTTTCCTCGTTTTTATCTTGATCGATTTCTTATTGTGTATTCAGCACATGTGTCGCTTATTGGCAAGAAGAATGAATTTGCAGAGTAAAATAAAGATTTATTATTTCTTCCGTGTCAAATTAAAAAACTGTTACGAAAAATTATTCCGCAGTTGGATGAATAACAAATATGGAAAAACACGATAAGACATAAGTGTATATTAAAATTTAATCCCTTCTGAGGAAAATCAATCAAACGTCAGCCGCAGCATGATGCCATCAATAATTTGCAGCCAGAGTGTTCAGTTGTGATTGCAATCGTGGCAATAAATTGCAATCAATCCGACTCTCTGTCCTGGTTCAACGGACAAAAAATCTGATCTGGGATATTTTTATTTCTCTGACGGCATTTTACAGATTAAATTCGCTGCGAATAAAATTAAATTTTAATGAAACTTGAGAATAAAAATCAGACAGTGAATCGCAGATAAAACTGCTTCTGAAATTTATCGCTTTGTCAGAGAAATGGTGAACTTAAAATTTACTGTTAAGTTTGTTCAAGCCATTAAAATTTCATGTTAAACAATGAAAAATATGATCAAACAAACTTTCATGATCTATTATTTATTTTTCAAAATTCACCATCATTGCCAAAATATTAGAGACCTTTTTAACTACATATTTAGGTTTTAGTTATTTTTCTAGATCGTTTCCCTTCAATTATACAAAAATTATTTAAAGCACGAGTAATCATCCTTTTCAAAAAATTTAAACCGCATTGTGATAAAAGAAAAAAACAGGAAATTCAAGTGTGGCTTTTGCAACTCACAAGTCGGTTACTTGATGTTAGCCAAACACCTAAAATGCAACGTCTTCTGTGCACAATTCTTTTTGCAATATGCATAATTCCGAGCAGTCTCTCGCAAAATTGTAAGGCCAATTACATTTCATTGAAATTTTCTAATTACTGCTGTAATCAGCTTCAAGCTCAGTATCGTGTCTAAAGCTAAAAAAAGAGTGCATTCGTTGCCATCCAGCTTATGGTCGTATCAAATTTGAGCAGTGCTCGTGTCCAAATAATGTGACCGACGTCAACGTTCAATGTGTCTCAGTAGGTTTCCGAGGTTACTGCTTGCAGATGGATCCTAATAGTGCGTAAACAATTTTATGCCTTCAGGAAATAAGATATTGCGTGTTATGGTTAAAAAGAGGATGGAAGTTCTATCTTTGAACCAAACCACCTCAGTTTTTTTTAAAGAAATCTTTTAGAGTTTGGATAAATTTAAAAAAAAAAATACCACAAAATCCATCAAAAGAGGTAATTTTCAAACCATTGAAACGCTATATTTAAATTGATTAAATTAAAATTCTCAAAAGTTTTAAATTAATGAGCTTTTTCTGGAAGTACATCTTATTCCCTTTAGATCAGATATCAGAATAAATTAATCTTACCATTTAATTATGCACAGAACCTTGCAACATTCAGCGAAGTTATGAAAATATTCAAATTGCATCAACACTTCCCAATCCTACAGAGGTTATCCCTTTGAGTAAGAATTTTTTTATCTTTTGGAACTCTGAAAATTGCTATTTTTATTTTCATTAGATTCCAAGGAAGAAGAATCAAATGCAGAGAAAAGAGCAGGCGAATCACCGGCGTGTCCTCCTTCAAACCTGACAATAACGAATATCATTTTGCTGGTGTTGAATTTTCTGTTTGCCATTTCGATTATGATTGTCCTCTGGATCAAGTTTCGAAAGCGAACTTCGATACCAAAAGTTGAAGATGTTATTCATTACCATGATGTTGGAAGTGACAAGGAGTCTGTCAATTGCCAACAGAAGGAGAATATTTATTCTGAGGTGGTAGAAAAAAATTATGTAAATGATGAAGCGTTCAAAAATTTGAAAGAAGAACTACAATATTGCGAAGTCCTCCCTTGAACGTCAGATTAAAAAGAAAAGTTGAATTTTTTGATGCGCCAAATATGGTGTATTTTTCTTTCTCTACTTTTATCTCAAGAATTTTTATACATGTAAAGAGATGAATTTTTTAGATAAAATTTGAACCAAAATTCATTTCAACTTCCTAGAAAAATTCTTATCACGCGACGCTGATCGCTGATAACAAAAAGTGCGCCTTTCATTTATAGTCAACCATTGACAGAATGAAAGGATGATAATAAAATAACAAGTTCTAAATTTATGACAGCTCAAATTTTCATCTATAACATTTTCAGTTCTTAAAAAAAGTTGTGATAGGTTTTTCTATCGAAATTTCAAAATTTGTGCTTCAAACTATCGACAAATGGTATAGATATTATTGTAAATTACATTTGTGCAGATACAAATAAAAATAAATATTTCTTCACTTGAAAGAAAAACAATCGTTGATGTCACAATTATTTAGAGTCATAGAAAAACAATAATACCAAAGACCCAATAAAAAATATTGCCAATCAGTCGATACGAAATTTTAAAACGCGTAATTGTGTAGTTAATATACTATTTTTTGTTACTCTGAAGGGATTTCCAATCGATCATTTACTTTGTTTCTTCATTTATATTAAGCCTATTAAGGTAATAAACATAATATCTTGAGTAATTAAGGTGCGTAAAAAAAATCTGTCCTTATATCGTGATAACTCCTATCTTATTGGAATGTAAATGTTTTGAAATGTGGAACGAAATGAAACGTGTAAAATAATAATTATAATTTATACCCAGTTTAGGTCAGTAAATGGAAGTAAAAATGAAGAATGTCTGCATATAATTTTATTTTTATGTTTTTAGTTAAAATTGGAGATATCATGCAAAATTTATTTCAAAATCAATGTACACTAGGGGGCTGAATCAAAATCTAAATATAGAACATGCAATTTTTCAATTTGCAATGATTCATAACACAATTTGCAACAGTCTATCGCCATTGGTTGTTTGCGCATTAATATAAATTAGTTTCTTGAGCCACACTTCACTGCGTTTATTATTTTCAAATTTGATAACAAAAGCGGCGTGGGGCTCGCAGAGACTGATTATTGCGAGGGAGCCGTCGACGTCATCTTCCATTGAAGAACGTCGTGGCTGCTGTGCCGGCTGGTCAGTCAGTGTCGATCGAGCCTCTCGCACGCACCCTCTTGAACCTCTATATGTTGAAAATATAGCCAACCAAAGGGGGGACAAAAGAAAGCACACATGTATCACCTTGAAGCATCGAGTGAGTCCAATAAATTAAAATTTTTTTAGGGTCAGGGCAAGTAGAAAAATTCCTTAATTGGTGGAGCCGAAGGCGTCAACCTATTTTATTATTATTTTTGGTTTATCTCAATTGAACGGATTTTACGTCTTTATTCGCTGCTATTTTTAATGTTTGGTGGCGAAGAAATTAAAAAAAAAAACGAATAAGAAAATTTGGAGGAGAATCTGAACTATTTAAGTGGGTTAAAGTCGACCGAATTACAAATTAGCCGCTGATTTTCAAGGTTTTAATTAATTCTGATGTGTCAGGTTGATCGCAAATGTTAGGTCTTCATTAATTGCTAGTTAGTGGTGGTATTAACAAATTTGAATGTAAGCAAGTGGAACGGCTTCCACTTTATTAGCGCTGGCATGACCGTGGCCTTGAATGACGATTATTTCGCCGATTAATTTTAAACATGTACAAGCAAACGGCACGCCTGATCGGCTCAAAGTGAGGATTTCCTCCTGAAAAAAAAACAGTTAATTAAATTTATCCTTAAATATCACCAGCCGGTGTTGATTTAATTATAATTAAATTGGATTTCATCCTACTTTAATGCTTTACGGGATTTTATTTTTTTCTTTGGAAAATTACAGGAAATTTCCATTTGAAGAATTAAATCTTTTGCATAATTAAGATATTGTTGAGGTCTTGACGCCGACTGATGAATGCGCATTTATGATTGACTTATCTCTGCGGTGACACAGATTATAGCGAAAAAGTATTTCTTCACCTGTCATGAATTGATTGAAAACTAGCAGATGTTTGATATAGCATAAAATACGCAGTATTCTGCGAAAACCAGAGCTCCATATTTTGTATTGATTTGTCCTCTGCTACCTCTAGATTATTTATCAAGAGGAAACGTAGCTATAAAATAAGGTTTACGCTAGAAGAAAATCTTGATTAAATAAGAATCAATTATGTAGCAATTTAAGCTCAATTTTTCGCATTTGAAACAATTAAAATTAAATGAAATAAATGCTGATTATCAAATAATTTCAACATGAACAACAAAATGAGTGTTTTTATTTTTATTTATCACAAAAGTTTGAAGGTAAAATTACTTAAATTTTCTCAAACTACAAAACTTTCAGCTCTGCATAATTAATTATACCAATCAAATTAAAAAAAAAAAAACGTTGGTAAACATTAAAAATAACTACTTAATTCATAATTTCATATACGAAATTCAGGCGTCACTATTTGTTGTCTTGATTATTCATAATTATAATCTCTATCCTTGTTTGCATTGTACACAGGCTCGCGCCCAGTGAAAATAATCCCCTTCAAACCAGAGTCAGCCCGACCTTACTACAATATCACTTACTTCAAAGGCGTAGAAAATTATCGGAAATTATACGTCTCACTTTGTAGTACTATTTCCGGTCACGTGCTTCAAGTTTTCAATTTGAGTAATTCAAACAAGCCAACCAACTGAACTAAACTTATTCAAGAAAAGCATGAGCAGCAGGAGATAAACTCGATTGTGTAAGCGACCATTAGAAAGCAAAAGTTCGGTGTTTTTCAGCGGTGGGCGTTTGTTTTTAAAGAAGATAACGCGTCATTAATTAGAGATTAATCAAAGACGAATGACTCAAAGTAGATCAAATTTAAATTTTTAATCCTATATAATGCCAATCACTCAAAAAATATCAATCATTAATACAATCTTAATTTCTTGTTACAACAAAAAAAGATCGATTCATCAAATTTATAGAAGACTAAATTATTATACTAGTTATTCCAATAATTTGAACCATTTAATAACCACCATTGAGCCTTGATTGGAATAGGAGTTAAAAATATTATGGATGAAAATTTAGTAGAGTTAAAAATAAAATGTAATCACGTGGTTACTTTTTTTAAACTCTCGTGTCCTCTGTTTAAATGGACTGGTTTTTTTGTTTCAATATCAACACTGGCATTCTTCTGGGCGTTTCTTTACCGTCTTAGGATTACACTGCTGTGATGTCACTTGGCCCTTTTAGTCCTTCTTCTGTCGACACAACGCACACAATCACAAAGCCCTCAAATATGATAATGCACAAAAAAAATTTGCTGCCACAAATTGAGCAAGGGAGAGCTCGTTGACCCCTGTCGCCTTTGCTCTCAACGCGTTTCATCTTGACATAATTTTGTTTTTACCATTCTATTCATCAATCAATGCCAAATTAAGAATTTCAGATAAATTTAGATTAGATCCAAAGTTTGATTTAAAAATAAAAATTGTCTGGAAAAAAGTTGTAGATTTAAATTATCCGGCGTATTATATTTTTAAATTAAAGTGATTTATTGACGGCGAGCGGTGGCCGGCGAGTTTGGTCCGGTTCCTTTTTGCTCAAGTCGGATGCAGACGACTTGAGTGTGGGGGCCACCAGAAGAAGGAAGCAAGGTCGGCCGCTTTGCACTCTTGATCGCGCCTTATCAAAAGGGGTCCGGCACTGGACAAACCACTTTTGCCGCCGCCCATTCATTGTTTCCTGCTATCACTTTGCTCAATTACTGACTGAGATCGAAAGGATTTTTCGTACGCGAGCCGCCTAAATTAATATCGCGTTTTCTTTGTGTTGCAGCCGGCGAGGGTGATCTGGGGCCGCCGCCCTACGAAATACTCGACGTCAACGAAGTCATCCAAGGACTACTCAACGATACAGGTGAGAAGGAAATGAAGTTTTCGCTTATTACATTAATATTTCTATAGTAATCTTAATTTTCGTGTTTTTTTTTTAATTAAGTAAACTAAAAATTTGGTCAAACTTATGACTTCCAAATTTTAAATAGCTAGAATATTGTTACTTGCAAAATATTTGAATGGTTTTTTTTATTGAAAGTTAACTTAAATTAGTTATAAATAATAATAATAATAATAATTTATTATCAAGTTACTTATTTTTAAATAATATTTTTAATTTTTGCTTAAATAAGTGGTAATTTTTTAAATAGATATTTGTTTAAATTATAAAAGTTTATTTAAGCAATAAGTTTAGTACAAATTTAATGATTATAATAAAAAGTATTTACCAAAATTTTTTTATGTTTAAATGCTAAAATATTTATAAATATTTAACCTATCAGATGAAGAGGTAATTTGTTAAACAATAATTTGTTGCCAAATAATTTACAAATCTCAACCTCAAAGTATGGATTGAATCATTGAAATTATAGTACATTAAAAAATTAATAATTAAATATTTATTAAAAACACTATGTGTGTACAACATACAAAAAAGACAATGTAATTTTATTTACAATACTATTTGAAAATTGTATTATCTTTTATTTTATGTTGTACACACATGTGTTTAATAAAATATTATTTTTAATTATGACAAAAAAATTAATGCTAATTTTTTAATTTATATAAGTAGTGATTTCAGTCAAATAATTCGAATAACAGTGAACTAGTTAATAAATAATAAACATTTTGTGCGAAAAATTAAAAAAAAATTAAATTATGAAATTTTGTTTAATATCAATTTACAGGACAAAGGTTTGTTCGAGTTTATAATTTTCGCGCTCCAGATAACGTGTGCTTTGCAAAAAATTCGCAGAGGTCGCTTTTTGCAGCGTTCCGAATTAAGACGCCTTTCCACGCTTGATCGGTTGAATTAGTGCGAGCGTTCGCCAACAGGCGGACCTCAAGTTCTCTCTGCACCACTGGTGCTCTTGTCCCTTTGGGCCAAGGCTGTTCTCCAGCGTTCAGCGCCTCACCAAATTTTCACATTCGGTGTAGCCGTGGATAATAATAACAATGTTAATCCGATCAATCCTTGCAACTGATTTCCTTGCTTCAATTTGCCGTGAAACAAGAACACACCTAATCGATTTCACGCCGTTTTGTTTTTCAAGCTCAATTCACTTTTGGCAAAGGTCATTGATGATTAAGTGACGGCCTTTTGTTCAGAGGCGCTGATCTTTCAACTATGCATAGCAAATAATTACACATTTTAATCGGGTTCGTCTCCAACAAATTTGAACTTAATATGTATTTATATTTTTTTCCTTCACTCCCCATATGTTATATTATTTATATACATATATTTTATTTAATTATCTACCATAAATCACTATAAATTAAATATTTCAAAATTCGTTTAAGCCAAAATTTTTAGGCCCCTATAATAAAAAATTAAAAAATTGTAAGAAAAATTTTAGAATTTTTCCTGTTCTTACTAAATCTGAAGCAGAAATGTCATTTCTTGTGTGGTTTTAACTACATTTTTATCCACTTTGGCAATTATTTGAGGAAATATGGAAAAATATTCCTTCATTATTTAAAAAAAAAAAATTGATTTTACAGTGCCATTGAGAGGTCCTTCTATTAATGATATATTTTAAAAAAGAAACCATTAAAGAGACTTCGGTAAAAATAAAAAACGATTAAAATGAATTTTTAGGCCCACTTCTTTGCAAATTCAATTAGAAATCAATTAACTTGAGGAGAGTCTAATGCTAAAAAATGGCCTGATCAATTTTGCTCAAAATTTCAGTCTGCGCAGTAAAAATATGTGGTGGAAATTATGGCGAAGCGAAACAGGGGGTTTGCTCCCTTTTTTGACTCATGTGAAGGACCAGAGTTGACTCGAGAGTGCAACAATCGCCAAACAATCAAACAATGCACTGATTCGACTATGTCATAAGCTTCTCCTTAAGTCAACTATTTTTTTCTAATTTTTTCCACTTTAAAAATATAAAATTATTATTAAATTTAAATTCCTCGGCTGCAATACTTTAATTATTTTAACTATTTGTTGTTGTTATTTCAAATGATGATTTGACCATTTTATCTCTTGCTTTTCAGACTCTGAACTGTCATCACTTTCACACCTAGGTAAGTTTATGTCATCTCCTAATTATTTCTCTTGACCTATATTCTCGCTCAAAAACCCAAACGTTCAAAATAAACGACGCCTTTCAATTTGAACTTTTTGCAATGTAATTATCGACACCTTCGCGCAGAGAGCACCTGATCCCTGTCAATACAGAGGTGCTGAATGGCACACATTTGACCGAGTAATAAATATAATAGACCTCTGGCTCATTCCATATTGCTCAAGTGGTGCGCACAAAATAGCAAAACATGCCATTTCGTTGACGCAGCAAGTCGTTAAATAGACGCATAGAGGTGACCATTCGAGCACACTTTACCTCCTGTTTGTTTTGGTTTACACGAGTGTGTGTATGGGAGAGATAAAGTTTGCGGAAAATGCAGAGGTGTACAAATGGTGCGACCTTCGAGATTTATTCTTCCGATTTATTCTAGTGACGGGTTTTTTAGTACAAATTTCCTTCTTCAGCATTACAAATATTTTATCACCAAAACAGACCTTTTCGAGACAGGTCAAAGAGCATGCCATTAATTTTTTTTTGCGGAAGAGGACCAAGTTTGAAACGTGAGACTTCTTTTCCTTTGTTCCGTCTCTCTTTCGAACAGTAAACAATGCATTAAGTTGTTGGCGGTGAATTATTATATTATGTGCCATAATAGCTCTCAAGAGGTTAGTTCGCTCCAAGGTGAGAGACAATTAAGAGGCGGCCTACCCGCAAAAAGCAGCGATTTCGCGGCAATAAACCTGTTGCTGATGAGGCAGGGCACCTTCACACCACATTTACATATAATTGGCGTGGTCAAGTTCAATTCCTATATGACAGGCAAAAAGCGCATGAAAAAATGAATACTGCCAAAAACATTGGAAGTATTGAAAAGGGAATAAAAGGCTATACAAAAAAGTTTTAAAATTTCACATGATTAAATTCTTATTTTGTTTGACAATTTTTTGTTTTTATTTCACAATTTTTTTTTCACATTTCAAGATAAAGACTTAATTAAATAATAAAAATCTTTACTCTATTAAACTCTATTCAGTTTAAAATAATAATAAATTGTTCAACCTATACAAAAATACTTAATTAATTGTAACTTTTCTCATTTGTTATTCATGGGGGTGAAATTCACATGTGACAGAAAATAACTAGACGAGACAGAAGTGGACTCTCTGGGGATTTTTTAATACGTTGACAAGAAAAGTTTTTTTACAAATATTTATAAAAAAGGACATAGAACTTACATTTATGGATTTTTTTTTAATTTTCAAAAGAATGAAAAAAAATCAAATATTTCCCAATCGGATCTCAATCAAACAGTCTATTTGAAAAATAGATAAACCTTATATAGGGCACAAATCATGGGCTAATTTGCCCTATTAATTACACACTGCCACAAATATTGAAAAAAAAATATTTAACTTTGAAAAATTTGTTTTTTGCATTTAAAACAAAAATATTACTTTCTCATTGAAGCATAGATTTGAAAGCACTTTAAAACAAAATTAAAAGCCCTCTAGTTATTTATACTTTTGCACAAACCCCGCTGGCATGTGTTACGCAACGTCTTTCACGGCTAGTAATTTTCACGGTGACAGGACGTGTCCTGCACGAGTCACTCGCAAAGAAGTTATCAGCAGATGTTCACAAAGGGAATTTGTGCTGAAGACAGACTTTGCCTCTGCTCCACAAACGCACCCAATTTGCACAATCCCTTATCTAAATAAGACGTTGGATCGGGTTGCTGATGAAGTCTGCCTCTTATCTAGAATTAATTTCTGCCCTCGTGTGGTGTCACTTTTTCCGTTCTTCAAATCCACTTGACGAGATAATTCTGTAATCTCCGAATCGAGTCGACTCAGCGATATATACTCATTCAATCGGGTAATTAAACGCGATAAAAAAGTTTTTATCGTACAATTAGTGGAGAGGTAAAGTCCATATCTTCACTTTAATTGAGGAAGAGAGGAATTTTTCACTCAAAGAATGTCACCTTTATAAATTGTGGATAAAAAGTTTGGACCTAAATTTCACATAAAATGCCAAGGATTGAAGCAAGAAATTGAAATTTTATATAAAAGAGAAATTAATTGAAATTCCGGGAATGAAAATTGCGTTGAGTGGACGCGTCTCTGTGAGTAAGCGAAAGTTCAAGGCTATTTCATAATCATGATATCGTATAAAAGTTTTATTGCTCTTTTTATATAAATATATTTTCGAACAATATTCACGATTTGGAAATGTACAAGTGACTGTGAATGATCCTTTGCACACCAGAGTAATTAATATTCCTTCTTCCGTAACATGGAGAGTGAATAAAAAATTATCTCATATGCATGAACTTATTGCGGTGACTTGAAAGACAAGCGGCGGAAGATCAAGCCCTTTGGGATGTTGGTGATACTGTGCTGCTTTGTTTGAAAGCAAGGCCGTTATACTCACGATGAATACAATATCAGGTATCCATCAATTATTCCTCAGTGCTTGCACTTTTTTTCGGTTCGACGCCCTTGACATTCGCTCGCTCCAGACTCATCTTCCTGGACTTTTCAAAGGTCTCTAGCGATTAATAAGTTCACTTATGAATAGACAGGCGAACAAATGTCTATTTATTTGCCAATAAAGGCGACTTTTAGGATCAAGTATTATTTTAGAATTCCGGATAAAGTTGTTCCTAATTCCTAAGCAGAATTCTAAAAAAAGTCATTTTTATAAAGCTACAAAAGAAAAGTAAATAAGCAAAGTATTTTGATCAAAATATTCTTTTTTTTTCTATAAAATAATAAAGGTCTTAAAATTTTACAAACCTTTAAAAAACTTCCTAAAATAGTCGAAAAAACCATCTAATATATTTTAGTCGTATTTAGTCTCATACATTTTGAATCGGAATGGCAAAATATGCTGATTCTCATTGTCTTGCAGATTGCATAAAAATATTAAAAAGCCAAAAGTGAAAATTTAAATTTAATTAACTAAAAAAAAATTAAAACAATTAAACCCGAATTGTTGAAATGCTCTTCAAGTTGAATAATTTTCATTGACTTCAATAAATATTATAAAATAAACTGAATTCAAAGTATCATAAATTTTAGTTCCTATCACAATATAAATTTATTAAACAATTATTTATACTTTTAATCTGAAACTTTCTCCCTAACTGACGTCGTAGCTTTTATAAAAATTCGGGCGTTTCCACGTGTCTCGAATCTGAGTAGATTAATGCGGGGAAGTGTTTGGATTGTCAATCGTGCCGATTATTTATAAATAAGTTTTTGGCTCGAAAGCGTGCACAAAATCGTCGCGTAAACGAATCAATTCCCTTGGCTGGTGGGTCGGTCGTTCGCGGTGCCGACCTCCAAAAGGCCAAAAAATTGAACCAGCTTGGCTATTGAACGTGAGAGTGTTTGTGTGTGTGTGTGTGTGTGTGTGTGTGACCAGGTACACACACTCTTCGCGTAAAAAATGCGTTGTTTGACCTTTGAAGTTGCGGGAACGAGAGAGGCGGGAAGGAAGCGAAGGAAAGATAGAATATCCGAACCTGCGACGTAAGGTCAGGGTCGGCAGTCTCGAGAGTCGCCGAACGAGACTTTTCCATTTTAAACTCGGGTTCGGCCTCTCGCAAAATTGATTGATGAGTTGGACAATGGGAAAAAGAAACGGGCCTTGTATTAATTATTTGGTGCAGGTCTGAAAAAGTAATCTATTTATCTGGTATGACTGCTAATCATAATCTTCAAAAGAGTAATTAACTTCCTCCGGTAACAATTCAAAAGGATTAGGCAAAACATGAGAAGATATAATCAAGCAGCAGATGTTTTATTGTTTGAAGTTCAATCAATTGATATTATGATAACTTTTCTATTGAGCTTTAATTAAAAGTGCTGTTGGGAATTTAATAAAACGCTTTTGGATTGCAAAAAAAAAAAAAAAAATGAACAGAAATAAAAGCGGTTTATTACAACGCCCTTCCAATTTACACAGAGCCTTGACAAGTTGACTGAATTATTTTATTATATTTTACTATTGCCCTCAATTGTCACAAAGCTTTATATTTTTATCAAGGAAACAACATTAATAGTGGAAATGCTTTTGATGACAGTATGATTGTTTGAAGTGCTAAGCGCGTCATTGTGTTAAATATGCACTAAAAATTCCTTCTGAGAATCATTTTTACGTCTTAGCAAATGGGAGTGGTTAATAGCAAACATTTAGCGACAGCAAAAATGATTTTCAGTATTTATTTTCAGTTAGAAATTTCTACATCTTTAAGAATAAGCTTTATTTTATTTTTAGGTTCCAGGTAGATTTCTCTCTAAAAAAAATTAAAAAACCTACCAGAAGAAATTGCTCACACGAATTTGAATTTCATGAATTAAATTTTTTAAATTATTTTTATATGAACGTGAACACTGTCTTGATCATGTTATGTCCTGAAATGCTCTAAACGTTCCTTTAGAAAATTATAATACAGACAGAAAATAAATTGCTTAAATTATTTCGTAGTTTAATTCATATTATTAATTTCTCTCTATCAGATTTCATTTTTCCTCATGACAAATTATGGTTTTATTCTGACCAGTTTTACGTAAGTGCGACCGCTACAGATTGGCGCAAAATGTATTTTTTACTCAATGAGTCAGGTTATTTAAGATACTTCCACAGTATAAATGAGGAAGGTCTGTCAAAGATTGAGCCAGAGATGTATCGAACGACGTTGTTACCATATGTGATTATCGCAGCCTGCGTTTTATCGGCCAGCTTTGCGTACCAAGGTACAAAATTAAATTATCTTAAATATACAATTTGCTTTAAAAAGGATTTAAGAGAAATTAGGCAAATCTCCGCAGCAGAAGCCAAAAAGGCCAGTACTCATAATGTTGGCACCTCCTAACAGAATCAAAGGTTTATTTAAATTATATTACTCCAATTTTGCAAAAATTATATTTCTCTTAATTAGAAACTCCCAATCAAAAAAACAAAACGATCGAGATCTCAACGCCGGCCATTGAAGTTAGAGGTATTATTATTCTTTTTTAATCCAAACTACCAAAAAATAATATGTTTCTTTAGGAACCCTGAATCCAGAAAAATCTTGGATGATGGAGATGGAAAAAGAAACTATCATTTACCTTTGCATGTTTGTCCTTTCCTACAATTTTATTGGTACTGTTATTATTCTCATGCTCCATTGCGTCAATTTAAAAAGAGGCAAAGCTTATGCACCGAGAAAACAACAAGCCCAGTGCCGGTACTATTATGTAGCCTGTGAACCCAGTGAGGAAAATCCTAAAGTAAAATCTGATGAAAATGTTTTTCCAAGTGAAGAGCAGGAGGAAAATACTTATGAAGTTGTTTTACCATCACAAGAGTACTCAGTGGTATATGATCACTTTAGGCACTTAATTCCAGCAAGACCGTTAAATGCTACGATGGTTCTAAATTAGTTATTTAATTTAAATAAATAATTCGATTGATTATACCAAATAAATAATGACAGACGATAGTTTAGAGTTGCTTTTCAGTTTTTTTTAAATTTAATTACCTCTCATAAATTTATAAAATATACATTTAGTTCCAGAAGTTTGTATATTGGGTTCAGACTGAGGACAACTTTGCCCCATACATGAACTCAAACCTCATAGATATTAACATGACAAAATAAAAATTTAAAATAAGAGAGAAAGATAACATTAATATTTATCAATGAATTGCTTTTTCAGCGTTGCCTTAAAAAAATGTATTAAAAGCGTATTTTAACCCTGAATTAGCCAGTCATTTATAGAAACAATATATTATGTTAATAAAGCAGAAAATGAATAATAACATTTTTTACGTTTAATAAATAAAATTAAAGACACACTTCCTGTTTTATTTTTTAATGATATGAGATTAAAATAAGCAAAAGTTTTAAAATCAAAATCAAAATTTATGAAAAAGTGCCACAAGTCACTGTGTAAATCATTGAGTCAGCATCTGCAGATCTGACGTACATACATGTCCCACGTGTGTGGTACAAGTTAATTGCTCTTGAAAAGGGCCGAAGTCATTTCCACTCTAGATTTCTAAAGAACGGTTTAAGGAGCCACCTAGAATGGTTATCAAGCTCTGAGTCGTCCAGGGTCTGCACTAGATAAGAACAAAAATAAACAAAGGAAGGAGCACGCGTCAAGCCCATGCCTTAAACCGGCGTTGAGCTCAGACGACAAAATAAACACTATTAAAAGCGGCTCCGTTTTTGTGTGTAATTGGATTTCGGGAATTATTGGCAATATCAAAAAGCGTCAAAAAGTTATTGCCGGATTATTATCAAGGTGCACGGGGTAAAGTGCTCCTCCAATATAAAAATTAATGATAATATAATTGATACGCGAAGAAAGTTTCTGTGTAAAAGGGCGACTTTTGAGCTCAAATTTTAGTTAGTAGATCCCAAGTAAAGTCGTTTTTTTTTTAATTTTAACAAAAGTTATTTTAAGATACCTATTATAATTCAATAGAAGTTTAAATAAAATTAGGAATAGTCTTCTTGAAATAGTTATAACAATGAGAAAGAAATTTTCCTTTAAAAAAAATTCATTTCCCAAGAAATTTTTTATGAAATACATATTTAAATAATTTTCGATTAACACCATTAGAATGAAAATGAAGAATCTGAAGGAAAAAATTAAAATATTTAATAGTACAGATGCATATTGATATTTAAATAACAGTTTAAAAATAATCAAAAGAGTACAAAAAGAAAAAAATCCTAAAATACAGTCCATGAAAGGACTTGACTTTTTGGGAGCATAAAAATCTTCAAAATCCTAACAAATTTGTTGAATTTATTTTTAAGTGTTATTGCTACGCACCAATCCGACAGTGTTTTTGGAACAATGGCCAAATAAAAATAATATGCTTGGTATTACCAAGTTGGTAACAGAAATACGCAAACAAGACGAACAAGGAAATTGTTTTATCGCGGCGTTAAAAAATCACCCATTTGATATCGTAGCGCGTGACCTCACAAATAAAATTTGTTTTCCAACTACCCACAGGTGGGTGGCGAAAAACTCCTCTTTTCCATTGCCAACGTGATTTGCAATACAACAATGCATCGAAACATAAAAAAAAATCGGACGCCACGTGCTAAAAAGTGGAATGTATTTCGCAAAATGACATTGTTACGATAATATACCTAAATATACATGCTACGTGCCGTTGAAACTCGTGCTTTTTTTTTATCTTGTCCAGCCGATTTATTTTTGGCTGAAATTCACGTTTTTCGCACCACTGATAATTTGAAAATCCATTTTACATTTTGTTTAAAAATATACACTATGTTTCAGATGCGCCGAACGACAGCGTTTACATGATGAGCGGCGTGTTGATCGCCATGCTTTTAGTCGCCGTCATCATCGTCCTCCTCGCTGTCACCATCAGGTGCTTTATTTCCTTCACTTTCTTCGCCACTTAACGGGCACAACAAATTAGTCACTACTTGCGAAAAAAGAGAGAATTTTTCTAGAGAGGAAGGGAATTTCGTTAATAAATTAAGCCATTGAAACGACGAAACGCGGTCAGGAAATGTTGTTATCGTGCTAATTAGTTCAAGTTTGTTTACAGACACAATTGCATTGTAGTCCCGGTTATTTTTCAACCTTTTCATATCCCGGAAAATGGTTTTGGTGGGCAACCAGAGACTTTTTAGTAAACAGAAAATTGTATTCTAAATGTTTCTAGAGAGCTGATAGTGAGAAAAATAAAAAAAAAACGCACAAGGTTTTTTTTATGAAATAGGAATTTCCCTGGTGGTTTTAGATTCCAAATGCCGGTTCTATTATAAATTTTTTTCTATAAAACAGCTCAATATAGTAGATTCCTATTTCCCGGGAATTTATATTTTTAATTTCTAAATTTAATTCAATATGATCACTTCAGTTTGTGAGACCACAATGGATTTACTTTCAAGTAAAAAACGAAGCCATGAAACTTATTGTAAATCATATTGTCTGTAAAAATTGACCGACGCTGGGATTTGTTTTTCTACAAAACACCCACGAAAATCAATGCAAATCTATCTTAATCAGGAATCAGGACAGATCAAACGGTTTTATTTTTGAGGAATTATTTTAAAACCAAATAATTCATCTTTAAAAAAATTGCAAGACATCTCCCCCTAGTTTGCAACTTTGAATCCAAATCAACTTGAGTATTGACATGTGATATGAATCATTTTAATTTCCTCTTCTCTGCATCTCTGATTAAAAGTGATTAACTCGATGAATACCGGATTAACTTTGATTAGTGAGAAAAAATTTCTGATAAATCTTACAACGTTTTCAAATTATTATATCATATTGAACACGATTCTATGCTTAATTCTCCTGACGCAGACAGTTTCAACCCTTTACTTGTGCCGTCACCGTGATAAACAACTCGCATACTTGTCATATTGCGCGCTAAAACCATTACTTGCAGTTGCAACTCATCCTCTTTATATTCTTGCACAAAGAAAAGACGTCGGGCAGACACAACAATGGCTCATTATTTGGGTTTCACATTCTGAGCGTCGGTTGAAAATTCTGCGTCTCAAAAATCAAGAACTTGAGAATTCCCTATGACGTTTCAACTAGTCCCAATACTTTTTAACTTGCAGTTTAATGCGCATTTATTGCGCCGCGTTCGTCATTAGTAAATAAATGGGAGCGAGAATTTCACGCCTACAAAACATAAAAGTGGGTCCGGTTTTTCCTGGTTCAGCTCTCGTGTGTAACTTTTTTTAAGGAAAGACGCGCCGTTAAAGATTGCACGCGAGAGGTTGATGATTGGATGTTCAAAGGGATTTGCGTAAATGGACACGGGAGAGGAAAGCTGTTGTTTGGAATGCAAATAAGCATGAGAGGAAAATTTATTAAAAGTTCGTAGAAGAAGCATTTAGCATGTTATCTATATAGATTCACGTCAGTTTTGATGCACGTTTATAATTAAAAATTAAACGCAGATCGGCTACTGGGACGTCATGGTTGGCTGCAATATTTACACAAATAATTAAAAACATAAATAGTGCTAATTATTTATTTCACCTTTTCTAAATAAAACTAATTGATGCTCAAGGAAATAAGAAACCCACTAAAACGTGGTTCTGAAAATAAATATTTTTTCTGGTGCGCTAATTAAATAAACCTCAGAGTTAAAAGTTCGACAATTGAAGCCACTTGAACTCCTGTAAAACATGTTGCCAAAATTAATCGCCAAAAACACTTTCCAAGAGAAATTAATAGTTATTCGTAAGCAATCAAATGTAAAATAATATATTAAGAAATTTTTCTGAAAATAATGAATAATTTTTTCGCCAAGTGTTAAAAAATTTTGTAAAATAATCGCATTCAAAATAGATAATAATATATTTTTCGCTGAATATAAGAAGTAAGACTCACGTGGCGGGGGAATCGCGACGGCTTTTCGCGCGGTGTGACGCCGAAGACGCGTCCAACCACCTCCTGACGTCACCGGCGGATACTTAAGCCGAGCTGCGAGCCACTGGCGGACCAGTTGGTCGATCGCGTTTCACGGTGTAGGAGGATCTGTCCGTAGATAGCTACTATACTGTCCGATCGCGAACGACTATTTTACATTACACAAGATGCAGTACAAACCTGGCAGGGTGGTTCTAACCCCCAGTTTCCGACTCTTGGTCCACAGCAAGCTGAGGAAACGAGGCGACGTCGAGCCTGCCGAGTCGCACCACCGGCCATCCGCCCCATCCCCTGTGCAACAACACCAACAGCAGCAGCATTCACCCCTTCCATGCACCACCCCGACCCTGGTCACGCTGGCCGAGCCTCCCATGAGCAATTTGTACGAACCCACCACCGCCTGGAATTACCCAGCGGCCCACTTCCTCTACTCCACTACTGATCAGGTAAATAATTAATTATTTTATTAAATTATTTATAACTAAATAAGCCTGTAATAAATAAGATAGAAATAAGTTAAAATCAAGTTAGAAGATTCGCGGTTAATTTTAATTTTTATTGTAACAAATTTAATATTAATTCACAAAAGAAAAGCAAATGTAGCACAGTTGAAATTTAAAAAAATATTAATAATAATAATTTGACATGAATTGCAAAATTATGATATATTTTTTTAATTAAATGTTGATTATAAGTAGAACTTTTTATAAAAATTTGAAAAACATCTAAAATTTGCAGCAAATGCAATTTAAAGAAAATATAAAATTTGATTACCAATAACATTAAAATTTTCAGAACAATTTTAATTATTTAAAAAATTCTTTTTCCATGCATTTTATTAGCAACAAATTTGTTAATCGAATTTGAATCAATTAGCAATAAATGTGTCAAAAAGTTCAAGACAAGACGAGTTTGCTATTTCACTTGACAACTCTTCATTCTTTTCTAGCGTGCACAGGTTAATCTGTGCGAATAAAAATTTTATCTGCCGTATTTACAGATTCACTTAACGCGCTTTGCATATATTGACCTATCACGCGCGCGTGCTGTCGAGTTTTTCGCCGCCGAGAGCTTCCGCATGTCTCAAAGATTGAAGCATTATACAAGGCGCCGCGCTCCGGAAATATCCAATTTTCCGCACTTTTTATTAGCCGAAATTGCCTCCGTTTAACTTTTATTGATTTATGAAGTGCCATAATTTTGCGGTTAATTTTAAGTCGACTATAAATCATTTAGTAACATTTGGAGAGCTTCAACAAAAAGTTTAAATAGAACAAACCGTCTGCTTTCTATGCCATGCATTTTTGTTAGAAACAAAGCCATTAAAAAAACTGTAGCTGTCAAGCTGGAGGACAGTGTGGACTGCATTTTTTTTTTATCACACAATAAACACTAACCTTGACAATTTAGTTCAATACTCATGCGGGAAGAAACTCAATACAAACATTGTCTGCAGTTTGTTTTAAAAATAAACAAAGAATAAAAATAATAATCAAATATTAATATTAATTTTTGTTATGAAATTTCATAAATGATTTGAATTTTAAATTTATTCAATTAATTTGGATTTTTTTTTAAATAATAATGAAAATTTGTTTTTTTATAGGAGACGACAATTACTCCCTTGGCCACCGAACAGCCTGGCTTCTGCAAAGGCGTGAGGAAAAACCTTGGCGGCAAGTGGAAAAGGCTGGTGCGGAGAAAATCTGCCCAGGATTGCCCTGTGAGCCGCGACCACCTCAAGCAGATCTACGTCTACTGAGGAACTTGTTCCGAATCAAAGTTCAAACACTCACGAGAGACTAATTACCAGTGACGGCGAAATATTGCCGCTCTGGGAGCGCCACCCAGGGCCACTAGGAAGAGGCTGTAGATGTATAGATTTGAGTGTGATTAATGGTCTCTGCGGGTATTCTGCTGTTGTTCCTAAATTGTGTGAAAAAGATGCTATAATTATATGATCGATTACAAGGTGTTGTTGACCATTTCATTTGGCTCATATTGAGCTATGTAGGCTTAAAAATAAAACGAGAAAGTACTGCTCTTCAAAAAAATAAAACGTTCCTCTTTTTCTTCAATCAAGTAAGAAAAAACTAAGTGAATTTTTTAGACTATAGTAAGTTTTTTTTATCTTCTAAACAAGAAAGTATTATTTTGAAGTTGTACTTTAGAATGATCAATTTTAAATTTAGCCATGAATAAATCTTAACAGAAAATTAAATGTCCTTGAAGTTCTGTCAAAATTTCTCACGATTTTCAAACTTACAAGTCACTTTGAAAGTGTTTTTTTTTTAAGTTTTGTTAATTCTGACATTGGATATTGCCTATTGGTCACTAAGATAACATTACCTGTGATACAAACTTTTTTAAAAATATATTTTGTTTATGAAAGAATTTTTAATTTGAAAATTTAGAATGTTTAGAGAATTTATTATTAATTTCTAGACTATTTTAATAATATTTTTAGACCTTTCTATTTATAAGATCATTTCTAAGGATCATTAAAAAAAAATTTTCCGCCACTCTAGTATTATTTTAAATTTTTCTTTCAGGTGTGAGCAGGATATATCATTGATTATAATTTTTTACACATTCATTAGGTGCCCAGGGCAAACAGGAAACAACTAACGGTTTGCGTAGGACGGCTTGAAGTAAAACCAGAAGCACAAATATTGGACTGAACCATGAGTGACTCACGCTCTCATTTTTTTTATTATATTTTTTTTTTAATACATTTTAATCATTCAACTCACGTAAGTAATGTATGTATATAAATTTATTATTTATCGTGCTACAGGTACCTCCGACAAAAATTCTCGGATGCAGAAAAAGTTCCGCACGCAGTTGAATTAAAAATGGCCTCGCATACAAAACGAATCAGACTAATTAGAAAAATTAGTGCGTCTGGGTGAGACGATTTTCACCGGTTTTCGTGAAACAACCCTTCCTTCCTTCCTTCTTGCTTTAAAAATTCTATGACTGCTTTCTCTCCAGCTGCGAGTCGATGTGGTCCAAATAGGAGGTGCCAACTTTGACAAGGCTGTAGCATGAGGCTACGCCGACCAAGGTCGCAAGGTTGGTGTTCTCGGGCAGGTAGCTCTTGGCCACGGCGAATAACAGCAGCGAGCCAAAGTTGAACAGCAGAGCACCGTAAACGCTGTGACAACATTATCAATTGTGTGTATTACAAATTAAGATGCGGGAAACGGAACAACTTAATAAAACAACAACAAAAATAGACTAGAGCCATTTAAGTGCTATGTTATTCTTGAAAGAAAAAAAAATACTCTTTTTTTTTGGCACCATGAATGAATTTTAATGATTTCTTCAAATTAATTCAAAAGTCCTAAACTTTTTAATATCCGATAAGGTGTAAAACTATGATAAAATAAATAGAACAGACTGAATAAATTTTTTTTATAGAATGGTTAAAAAAAATTAAATATTATTTTGATTCGCATAATCCCTGCAAATGATGTAATGTTATGCAACCCACGCCAGCAGCTGAACATAACAGGTTGCCTAGTTTAATATTTCCGAGGACCGCGGGCATTGCAACGTGACTGGCATTTTCTTTTTAAAAAGCAGAGAGAAAATATAGAAACTTTGTATTTGAAAATTTATAGACCAAAAATGAGCAGAACTTGTTGAATAAACTTCACAAATTGGCAGAAGTGCAGAAGACAAACAGAATTTGGTAATTTTCAATTGGTAAATAAAGGTTAAAGGTAAGAAATGAAATATAATTTTAACTGCTTTAATGATTTGTTGTTAAATTTCAGCAATTATTTCATTCACAATTACACGAAAAGCAAAAATAATAAGCACAAAGAAATATGGAAAATTAGCATTGGAGCTCAAAAAATGAAAAAACAAGAGTCATAAAATAAATATCTATTGGAGACGTTATTATAGTTTAATTATTATTTTTTTTAAGCTTAAATTAATGATGTACTAAAATGTATCAATTTACATCTGTGATTGTAATTATAATGAATATTTATTAGATAATAACCTAATTCATTATTGGAAAGTAGACAAATCATTACCCCATTTCCAGCAAAAAAAAACCTTTTAAAAATAAAATTTAAATTTTTAATCAAATTAATTCTCATTTTAATATAAAATTTCAAGAGTAAATTGTAATTTTTGTAAAGAAATATAAGAAAAACACCAAATTATTATCAAAGTCCGAGTTGAATAATATAATTAATTTAATTTTTTTACCTGAATGAGAGTCTAAGCTGTGTTGGTGCTGACTGCAAGTGTGGCCTGTTGTAAAGGTACAACCCTGTTCCCAGGGTGGAACACGCCAGCAAGGTGCTCGTTATATCTTTTTTCGGGAACAATCTTAAAAAACCAAGGATTAATTAATTTCAAGAAAATTTTTCCTCATAGAGACATACTTGTAGAAGATTCGCGGGTTCATCGAGTTGATCGAAAGACCGGCAAAGCTGGCCACCCCCTGTGCGGGGAGGTAGAAGAAGAGAAGATTGTGTTTGTTGGGACATTTGAGGCCCAGTCGGCCGAACAGAGATTTTGAATGCGCCGGCTTTCCGTCTGCCATCGCCAAAAATGTCGAGAAAACGTTCGGCAATTGCGTAATCCAAAAAGATCTCTCCTGCACAGCTGACTGAGAAAGGTGTGTGGTCGTCGTGGGAAAGGGTTGGTCTATTCGCCGAGAGATGACGCGTTAATACACCGAGGGTCATCCATTCATAAAAATATAAAATAAATTCTTCAAGTGTTTGTAATACACAATAAATCCATAACTTTACATTTTACTATGTATCAAAGTCAAGAAAATAATTAATTTAAATTTGATTAAAATCATAATTTTATAAAATTACTGAAAACAATTACATATTAATTTAAACATTAAATTTATTTTAAGATTTTTGTTAGACCTGAAAAAAATCACTAATTTTATTTCACGTTGTTTTTCTGCTTTTTTTAGGTCTAGAAACATTTTATGGCGTAAACATATAAAAGAAAAATATAAATTTAAAATGACATGCAGCTTTGGCGCCTTATTTCAAATTGAGCGCCCCCACCAAGTGCCGCCATTTGTAAAGTCTGCGTGTCATTCGTCCTGATCATATGATCGACGGGAGCCGTGGTACCTTGATACCTTCGGCTTTGGCGTTCCTCGAGACCTGAGCGATCTGAAGACAAATCGTCGGCTGCGTCCGAATTCGCAAGCCTGACCGCGCTAGGTCGACGAGCTGGTCATGTGAAAAGCGGTGCTGTTTCCGCACAGAGAGCAGTTTTCGCCCGCAGTTTGAGTTTGTTGACCTGCAGAGAGTCTGGTGCTCCTCTCAAGCGAGAGAACCATGGCTCTGCGGAAGGTGAAGGGAAACCTTGAGCGGATGTTCGACAAGAATCTCACTGACCTGGTCAGAGGCATCCGAAACAATAAGGAAAATGAGGTTGGAATTTCAGTCAAATAAAAAAAATATATTCGCTTTAAATATTTTATTTAATAAAAAAAGATTAAATTTTTTATCTAATTGTTTTTTTAATTCCTTAATTTTGCAGGCAAAGTTTATAGCGCAATGCATCGAAGAAATCAAGCAAGAGCTGAGACAAGAAAACATATCAGTCAAAGCGAATGCTGTTGCCAAACTGACCTACGTAATTGAATCTTTTTTATTAAAGTTGAATATCTTAAATTAAAAAATATTTTGTCCTCTAGCTGCAAATGATGGGTTACGACGTAAGTTGGGCTGGATTCAACGTCATCGAAGTCATGAGCTCGACCAAGTTCACCTACAAAAGAATTGGCTACCTCGCTGCCTCCCAAACCTTTCACCCTGACACAGGGGTGACCTCGTTTAATTTTTTTAACTGAGCAATATACTAATATTTAATAAATTCAGCTTTTGATGCTGACGACGAATATGGTGCGCAAAGACTTAAACAGCCAGAGTCAGTATGAGGCCGGTCTGGCACTCTCCGGCCTTTCATGCTTCATCAGTCCTGACCTGGCTCGTGACCTGGCCAATGACATCATGACCCTAGTTTGTCTTACATTTCTTTATTTTGAATTAAATTTTAATTTTGATATTGTTTATAGTTGTCGTCGACTAGGCCGTATCTTCGTAAAAAGGCCGTTCTCATGATGTACAAAGTGTTTCTTCGATTTCCTGAAGCGCTCCGGCCAGCCTTTCCTCGGCTAAAAGAAAAACTGGAAGACCCTGATTCTGGTACGCCCCATGTACACCGATGGCATAATAATTTTTATGCAAATTTTACATCAATTTAATTCAACAGACCTTGTTGTGAAAATATTTTGTTTTAGAGGGGAAGTTTATCTTTAAATTTTTTTAAGACCCTGTTTTTTTCTTATAATTTACAGACATATTATTTCTACTTCCCTATCCTATTATTATACTTCCTTTTTTAGTATTCATAATTTTATTTTACATTAAGTAAATATTTTTTGTTGTTTTACATTTCTGGAATTTATTATTATTGAAACGATTCTTGCCCATTTTGCAGGAGTGCAATCGGCTGCAGTGAATGTGGTTTGCGAACTGGCGCGAAAGAACCCGAAGAACTACCTGAGCTTGGCGCCCGTCTTCTTCAAGTTGATGACCACCTCAACCAACAACTGGATGCTCATCAAGATAATCAAGCTGGTAAGTAGCCAGTGCGAAAATTCGCATATTTAACCTTCTCTGTGCCCCTTTTTGGAGTTTGGAGTTTTCACTCACGTGGAGCCCCGAGTCGGGCAAAAACTGACTCGTCCCTTGTTGGACCTGATAAGCAGGTCAGTTCTCAGTCCGCCCCGAATTATGCCAAACGCTTCTATCATAGTCTGAACCATCGCTCATGTTTGCCCCCTTGCTTCTTCCGTTGCAGTTTGGCGCACTTACACCGCTAGAACCACGACTCGGAAAAAAGCTTATTGAACCCCTCACCAACTTGATCCACAGGTAAAATCTCCTTGCTTGCCATTCCGTGTTTCACTAGAGGCTTGTGTTTCACAATTGATTGAAAAAGTGAATGCTTATCAAACCCTTTTCGTTTTAGCACTTCAGCCATGTCTCTCTTGTACGAGTGCATTAACACAGTGATAGCAGGTTGGAAATGATTTGGAATTTAAATAAGTGTATTTATAAATTTGTCTAGTTCTTATCTCCATATCGAGCGGAATGCCAAACCACAGTACCTCCATTCAGCTTTGTGTCCAGAAACTTCGGATTCTGATCGAGGACTCTGACCAGAATTGTGAGTTTAATATTTAAAATATACACAATTTGACGCTTAAATCATTCTAGTGAAATATCTTGGCCTCCTGGCTATGTCGAAAATCCTGAAGACCCACCCGAAATCTGTTCAGTCCCACAAAGACTTGATTTTGCAGTGCCTTGATGACAAAGACGAGTCCATAAGGCTGAGAGCTTTAGATCTGTTATACGGAATGGTATTTTCCATAGCTTTCATGTCGACTCCGCTAAATTAATGATTTTTCTTTTAAGGTTTCCAAAAAGAATTTGATGGAAATTGTGAAGAAGCTGATGATCCACATGGACAAGGCTGAGGGCACCAGTTACAGAGATGAACTGCTGTCCAAAATTGTTGAGATCTGCTCGCAAAACAACTACCAGCACATAACCAACTTTGAATGGTACCTTAAAATTAACCTTGTTAAACTTTATGCAACTTAAAATGATTTAGGTATGTGAGTGTGCTGGTTGAACTAACGAGAATGGAGGGCACAAAGCACGGACCATTGGTGGCCAACCAGCTTTTGGACGTTGCGATCCGAGTTTCAGCTATTCGCAGCTTTGTCGTTGCCCAGATGGCCCTGCTTCTTGACAACGCTCACTTCATCACAGGCTTCTCTCAACGAGCAAGCATGTGTGAAGTTTTGTATGCAGCTGCATGGATCTGCGGAGAGTTTTCTGAGTGAGATCGATTTTTTTACAAAAATTTTTCATCTTAATAAACCCTCTTTTCTAGGTTTTTGCCAGACACAAAGTCAACTCTGGAAGCCCTTCTCCGAGCTCGAGTCTCATCCCTTCCGGGTCACATCCAGGCTGTCTATGTCCAGAACATCATGAAGCTCTACGGTCGACTGTTGACTGCAAACGTGGACGATGCAAACATCGACTCAGACATGGTTGCTAAGTCGATGGTTGAAGAAATTTCTGAGCTCGTTGCTGGTCGTTTGCCTTCGTTTGTGGAAAGTAGCGAGTTAGAAGTGCAAGAAAGAGCTTCGGTTGCCCTACAGCTGGTCAAGTTTGTCCAGAAACAAATGGGAAAAGGCCAGGCTGCTGGACTAGGAGCTGAAATTGTTTCTCTGTTCGACGGAGAGCTCAACCCTGTGGCTCCAAAAGCGCAAAAGAAGGTGCAGGTGCCAGAAGGGTAAGTTGAATATTTAAAGTAATTAATATTTCCTCTAAATCTTTCTTAATAGCTTGGATTTGGATGAGTGGATAAATGAACCCCCGCCGTCTGAGAGTTCCGACTCGGAACCTGAAATAGAAAGGCCGAATCTTTTTTCGGCAGGAAATGCCGAAAATTCTTATTCTGAGTCATATCAAGGGGCAAAACCAGTTGAATTGACTCAAGAAGAACTTCAAAAAGTGAATATTTCATACTTTTTTGTTTTGTTATTAATTTAAAAATTATTTCGTAATTAGCATCGAGATGCGAGAAAGTTTGAGCAAGCGAGCAACCCTAACTACTTGAAGGGCGGCACTTCGGAAAGCAAGTCCAACTATATTGACGTCTCAGAAGTGCCTGTGGCTCAATTAGATCTTCCTGTTAGCCTGAAGATTCCAGGCTTGGTTTCCTCTGACCATTATCTGAAGGAACAAAAGGAGAAGGTCACTAGCAAGAAAAAAGTAACAAAGAAGAAGAAAAAGTCAAAGAAGAGCAAAGGTTAGACATCAAGCAAATTAATTTTATTTTGTTTTCATGTCGACTGATTTTCAGAATCGAGTGATGAAGAAGAATTGGCCACTCCCTTGCATGTAGTCAACACTGACGTAGGTGAAATGCCCGAGGGCGCTTCGTTGTCCGACGGCCAGGACGATGAAAACAACGACTCCAATGATCCTCATAGAGCTCTGGACATCAATCTAGACGAGTATGACAACTCATGAGAAAATGATGATTTTATTCTGAAATATTTTTTAGGCCATTACGAGCAGAAGAGAAATTGCCTGTTCGAAGTCACAGAGAAGCGCCACCATCAAAGTTGGAAGTCGTGGGGTTGAAAGATGAAGGCAGCAAGAAGAACAAAAAGAAAAGTTTGAAAAAGGAGGACAAGAAGGAAAAAACAAAGAAGAGTAAGAAGGAAAAATCTGTTGTTATGGACTTGATCCAAAATGGAGAACATCCGAATCCACCAGCAAATGTAAATTGCTACTCTTTTTAACAAACTGTTAAGTAATCAATTCGTATTTAGGAGCCAAGCACTGATTTCTGGCTGGATCATGCAGACTATGAGGCAATGCCCGACACTTCAATGTCAAAATCTCTGTTGGAAGAGCAAGAGAACGGAAAGACAAAGAAAAAGAGCTGCAAGTCCAAGGAGAAGACAAAGGTAAATTTACAAGATAGTTTAAATTGAATTTGACACTTATCGGCTGATTCTTAAGGACAAGAAAAAGCGAAAGGAGAAAAATGTGATCAAGTCTGAAGACACCGACTCTCTAGCCACTGACATTGCCTCGTTGTCGGTAGAGCCAAGTTTTGTTCCCAACTTTGTCCAAGTTGCAAGCAACAAGGATAAAACCGTTTCAATTGTAATATTTTAAGAAAATTACTCTTTTGGTATTAATACTTTTATGTTTAGTCTACCCTTCCACAATTGAGTGGCAGCCAACTGCTTATAAGTGTCACAGTCAACAACACAACAGTTTCACCTCTACGAAGTGCCGAAATTAGTTTTTCTAAAAATGCTGACCTTGAGCTCATTCCTGTAAATATGACACATTTCATACAATTTTTGCTTTGACTGAATGATTTTCTGTAGGATGGCTTGAAAACCACCGAATTTGGCTCCTACCGTTTCCAGCAAGAGTTCCCTCCAGGCTGTTTAACATTCCCATTGCTTTTCAATGTTGCGAATGTCAACAGTGCCTACAACGTCAAAGCTACCGTTATTTTTAATTTAGAGGTATAAATTTACTTTAAAATTGGTAATTTTATATCTAATAAAATTTTCAGTCCAACCAGGACAAAATAGATCTTGCGGTCAATGTGCCGTCTGCACTTTTCCTGAAGCCAATGCCAATTTCTGGCTCTGATTTTGCTGAAAAACTTGCTAGCGGTGATATGCAGCATCTTACTTCTAAGAAATTCCAAACTAAGAAGACTTTCAAAGAGGTCAGTTAATAATATAAGCAAAGTAATAATAAATTTTTTAAACAAATTCAAATTCAGGCCCTGGGTTTCTGCATGGCTATTTTCTGTCTGGTGGAGCAAATAGGGGACACGGCGTCCCTGTCGGCGCAAACACCGAAGGGCCAGCAGGTCTTTTTACTACTAAAATCACAGGTATTTGAAAGTTTTATTTTTATTAACATTTTGCTTAATTAATGATGCTAGGGTGGAACATTGAGTCTCGACGGAAAGAGTGACAACCAAGAACTGATTGAGAACGTCGTCCAGTGGCTGCAGCAAGTTTTGTCTGCCTGATCGAATCCCAGAGGGAACATCAACAAGCATATTATCGAATATTCAATTCTGGTGATTATATATGGACTTCACATTCCACTTAACCAAAATTGGTGACAAAGTGTAAGCGGATCAAAAATTGTGCATTTTTGCCTGTTATATTACGCAGATGGAGGGCACTCCAAAAATTACTGACTATTGAAGTAAACTATGTGTTGTTGATTGTAATAAAAATCATGCAGTGCAATATTAATACTTTAGTAAATTTTTATATTAATATCTTGCATTTGAGACTTTTTAAATTTACTAAAAATGTGTTTGAAGGAAAAGGCAACAGTCAACCGAGGCTAAAGTTGTGGGATGTGGTGCATTTATTATTCTGGAAATTAAAGCTAAATTCTTACTATTGATGATGGACTTTTTCCAGAAATTCATTATATTTCTTAAACATTGATTTTTCTTCAATGAGCAAAGCATAACGATTTGTTTCGATTGGAATTCAACCAATAAACAAATATAAAAAATACAAATAATATATTTTAGCGCCTGAAATTTGTCTGGGTATGCAGCCAGTATGGCGCGCGTGTTCAAGTGGTTGCCTACGTGGCGCCACTCGCTCCGTCTGCCGGCCGGCGTCGGAAGAGCGCAGAAATTTGATCCGCATTATTGCGAGTCGTGCTGGCAATCATCGGGTCTGCTCCCACAGCAACTGCCCAGCCAGCCAACTGGTTCCTCTCTGTCCTCCTCGTGCTTTGGTCAAACAAGGCAGCCGAGTTTGGGGTCCGATGGCGGCGACCCTCTTACCTCCCGTCAGGTACACCAGGAATCTATTCCTGCGCTGCGTCTCTGCCATCTATTTGATCGCCTTCCTCTCCATTTACGTGCAGATTCCCGGTGAGTTTTCACAGAAAGATGAATAATTGATTGCTCTATTAGCTTTCAATTTTAATTGCACCATGAAATGACCTTTGATTACTTTTTTTATTTTAGCTTCTAAAATCGTAAATAATTACTTTCTAATGCTGGATATTAAAATTACACCAATTTAAAAAGTCTTATCAATGTATCGATTTTAAACTTCTTTCACAATTTTTAATTTAAATTTCTGTAAAAGTGAAGAATATATCCTGAAGTCGCAGCGAATGTTGTAATATCCTTGTCAATGTCACCCTCCGTCACATGACCGCCTTTGTCTGTGTAAGAAGCAAAAGCTATTATACCTTGTTGAAACGTGACACCCCTGTGGTCTTGGTTCGCATTTTGCCATACCGCAAAATCAACTTTTTTATGATCCGAATGCGAAACCTGCCCATTTGACCCTGGTAATAAAATAAACTCCAAATTATACAACTTTGAAAGACTTGATAGACATCCATACAAAAAGTAAAAGGTTCTGTTTGAATAAAATAATGAATTCTAAAATTACAATTAATTTGACCTCCAAAGCTATGTAAAAAAATTCATTGCATCATCTCGCCATCCAGCAAAGGAACGATATTAAAAAAAAAAATCCAAATAAAGTGGCAGTTTTAGAATAGTTTTAAATATGAAATCGTTTAAAATTATTTAATTTTTTCTTGCAGCTTAATTTGAAGTTTTTTTTAAATCCTTGTTATTTTAACAAAATAAATATTTTAAGACTGCACCTCAGAAGTCCAAAGACATTTGATATTATTGATGCAATGCGGAACAATGGAAGCGCGGTGTGTCTCAAAAAGCTGACATGCCCTTTGTATAGTCAAGATGCAACGTCTGATGATAACGAAAAATCGATTTATTCCATTTTTTTCTCTCTCCCCCAGGGCTGAACGGCAGCAATGGGATTTTGCCGGCCAAGTCTCAACTCGAGTCAAGCAGGAGCAGATCGCTGCTCGAACAAATATATGCAAAACCAACACTTGTGTGGCTTGCGCCTCTTTTGGGCCTCGACACCGAGCACGCCCTGGAGCTGATTGCACTACTAGGGTCTTTCCTCGCATTTCTCGGGTGCGTTATTGCATAAGCCCCATTTATAATAAAAATTAACTCTCGCAAGAAAAAGAAATTAATAATTTTTTTGATATTCCAGAACCGTTAGTCAAAAGGCGTGCATTTCGCCAACTTTCCTTCTGCTCTGGATATCCTACCTGTCGCTTTTCCAAGTCAATCCTGTCTTCATGGGCCACCAGTCGTATGTTTTATTAATGAAGGAAATGTATTTAAAAATTATTGAATAATTCATAGGGACAAGCTTTTGCTGGAGACCGGCTTTCTCTGCGTGCTACTCGCTCCCTTCCTGCCAAAGGACACAAAGAAAGAGGCGGCCAAAGATGCGGTTGTCCTCTGGATGGTCAAGTGGTTACTTTTCAGACTGATGTTCTCAACCTGCATAGTCAAGTTCACCACCAAGGGTAGCAGGCTGTGGTGGCAACTAGCAGGTATAATTATATTAAATAATGGGAAAAAGTGAAAAATAAAATTATAAAATTATTATTTGAAGGTCTGGACGTTTACTTTGAGGTGCAGTGGCTGCCGAATTACCTTTCATGGTACTCGCACCACCTACCCCAATGGTTTCTGCATCTTTCAACCCTCTACACCCACTTCACTGAAGTGGTGGTGCCCTTTTTCTTCTTTGTGCCTTTCCACCTTGCATCTGTGATAGCATTTTACTTCCAGGTAATTTATAATTTTAATTAAACACTTTAAATCGTAATTTAAATAACCCCTAAAATTTCCAGATATTCCTACAACTGTGCATTCTGTTCACTGGCAACTTTGGCATTCTCAATTTGCTCATTTGCATTCTATGCATCTCACTACTTGACGATCGCAACTTTTTAGAGGGACCATCAAAAAGTATTTCTATGCATTTTTATTAAACTGAAAAATCTAGCTTAAAATTTTAGACTCGCCGCCAAAATATTCGCAAGTCTCAAAAATGGCTTCCTTGGCTTTGTACGGCCTTTCTTTTGTCCTCGCATTCAAAGCGCTCGGATTCGGTCCCAAAGGACTTGAAGTTCAAGGTAGAAATAACTATATATAGAGTATTCTAAAATAAAAGTCAAAATTTTAAAGGCTCGGACGAAAAGGGAGTGGAGGAATTTTTGCGCTGGTTTGCACCACTTTTCCCCGGAATCGCGGTTGTCGCTTTTTGCGTTGAGTGTGGTAAACGAGTCACAAAGTTGCTTCTGCAGAGCGATGGCTGCAAGGACAAAATTTTACCACTCTTCATTCTCGTTTTGCACATTCTCGCTTGCATCGCCGTCATTGGATTGAGTGCCGTTAGTTTCATACAGTTCCAAATTTATTGTTTGATACTTTATGATAAAAATTCAGGTGTCGTTTTCGTCGATGCGCCCGCCGAGCGCCAAGGAACCACAAATGCTGACCGCCCTTCGCCCGATCTACAGCAAGGCCCACAAGTGGCACATCACCAGCTCCTATAGCATGTACCTGCAAATCGACGAAAAAGGCGAACGCAAGGAAGTGATACTCGAAGGTTCGAATTCGCTGAAGGGGCCGTGGATCGAGTATAACTTCAGATACAAACCAGGAAACGTCAACAGATCTCTGCCCATCATTGGTAAAAAATTTTATTCATTATAAAATTTAATCTGAATTGATTTATTTTTATCCTTTTCACTAATATTCAGCAATAATAATAAAGAATAAAAAAAAACTTTGATTAAAATTTAAAAATCAAATGAGAAAAAAAGTTGAGAGTTGAAAAAGAAATTTATACACATGTTTATAAAAGATTTTTAAATATTTCATCCTAATTTTATTTACAACCTTTCTGGTTTCAATTAATTGTAAAATTCGATTTATTAATCATGGATTTCTTAAAATATTAAATTATAAATTTGTTGTTTAGTACCGCACCAGCCACGATTGGACTGGCAAATGTGGTACACTGGAATCAGCACATATCAACACAATCCCTGGATCCTGAGTCTAGCATATCGCCTTCTCCAAGGCCAACACGACGTCCTTCAACTGTTGGATCCTTACAACCCATTCCAACTTCCGCCTAAATATATTAGGGCGTCACTTTACACCTACAAATTCACCCCCTGGTCTGAAAAGTGAGAAATAATTATAAGCTTTTTTTCTTTCCAATTATTTATAATTGAAAAGAATAATTATCCAAATTTTGAAAAAGAATACGATAAAAAAAATTATTAATTTATAGCAAATTTGGTTCGGCGTGGTGGACAAGAGTGCGGAAGGCCGACTACTTCCCGATCTACTCGGTGGACCACCCGCCCCTGCTCGACTTCCTCAAGCAACACAAAGTCTTGGGCGCAAAGGACTGGCCGCTGCGCTCCCACTGGCTCGCGTCCCTCCTTGAAATGATCAGGACAAAACTTGACCCGTCTGTGTTCACCTGGTCCATCCTTATGGCGGCATTTGCACTGGTCATGAGTGGCACACGTTGAATGAATTAAACAAAAATTACAATAGCAATGTAGCAACCTGACACGACAACGAATGTAATTGTTTTCACTGGAATGGCAATAAAAATAAATTGTAACCATCGTTTTGGAAAAAAACTAAAATTGACTAAAATATATTTCATCTAAAGTGGATTGCGTGGAATATCACAAAAAAAAATTAGTTATAAAAAAGAGTAGATGCTATAATTGGAAGTAAAAATATTTATCATAAGGAATTAAAGGGAATTCACTAATTCTTTAATATTATCAGAAAAATAGCTTTTGAAAACAATTGAGAAAATTTTTACTATAGGGAACACCAATAATTTTTACCCAGATAAAATATTTTGAATATATAGATAACTATCAATTAAAAACAAAAACGAATTTTTATTTTTATTATCAAACGTTTTAGAAAATTGATTCTCAAAATAAAAGATTTATACAATTCTGTAAAAAAGATGAAGCAATTCCCTTGTATACCTGCCGTGATAAGTAATAAGTTTAATATAAAAAGAAACTACCACACACGACGATTTCACCACTTTCAACCTTAAAACGACCTCAAGCGCTCCACATACGGCACAAAATAAGAACAGTCGATAATATTTCAATAAAAAAAGCACACGATAAAGCGGCAAACACGAAAATCGCCAAACCCCAAGAGGAGAAAGCCACCCTTGCAGCATCTCGTCAGTGCCAGTCACCTTTTTTCCAGTGCAATATAGTTTAATGTTGACAGTTGTTGCCGGGCAACCCCCACGTATATAAACTGCCCAAGGGAGAAAGGCCCGGGCAGATTGCGGAAGGGAGCAGATCGAGATGCCGACGGCGGCCCAGGCCCGAATTTCGACTCGTCACGTGCCCGCTTTCAGCACACAGGCCACGCAGAAACACGTCAAAGTGCAGCCGCCACCACGAGCAGAGGCCAGCAGGCCGCGGCCACTCTCCCGACCCACTGCGTTCAGGAGATTTTATGAAAGGGGTGATTTTCCGATTGCCCTCGAGTTTGACACGTTTGGCCACAAAATCGCTTGGAAAGTAGGTTTTTTTCATAATAATAAATACTTCACGAATCGTTCAACTATTAACTATATGTGTTTAATTTCTTTAAAATTAAGAAATTTTTAAGTTTAAATAAAATTTATTTTGTTCAAAGTCGGAGAAATTGGGGGGTGAGATTAATTGGTCTATTTTCAGGTCAGCCTAGACAAATTGGACTTTCACCACTACCTGCCCTTGTTCTTTGATGGATTGTGTGAAACCGACCATCCGTACACGTTTTTTGCACAGAGAGGGATCGCTGACATGCTAGAACACGGCGGCTCGAGAATTCTTCCCGTTGTTCCTCTGCTCATCATCCCCATTAGAAGTGAGTTTCTCTTTGAAATTAGAGATACAAAAAAATCGGTTTGATCATAACTCTTTAATTTATTTAAATCTGTCATATTATTGTAAAAAATGAATTTTTTTTCTCTCAACTCTCAAACAAAAAGTTATTTAAATGAAACTAAAAAAAATTTAAAAGTAAAAAAAATGACATTTAAACAAATTAGCGCTTTGCATGAATCAAAATTTGGTTATCAAATTAAAGAACCTCTCTTCCCTCTCGAAATTATATTCATTCTTGACCCAATTCGAGATATAAATATTCGCACCCTCGAAAGTACAATTTTTATTCTACCCCATCAGAGAGCTCAAGCAACAATCTTAATCTTAAAAATTATTATTCAATTTTTTGATGCTTATGCAAGAACCTTGGACAAATTTTTCAATTTTAGTTGGGCATGGGAATTTCTTTTTTATCGCAAATCTTGACGAAAATGAAAATTTTTACCTATTGAATTGAATAGTAAACAATCTTTATTTTTACATGTTCTTCATTATAAACACCCGGAAATCATCAAGGTTTTCAACTTTCTCCTAATAATCTAGAAATTTTTGTATCTATAGACGCCCTAAACACAAGACACCCTGAGATCGTGTGCAACACCCTGAAGGTCCTGCAGCGACTGGTGACAGCGGCCGACCTGGTTGGTCAGGCCCTGGTGCCTTACTACCGGCAAATTCTGCCGGTGCTCAACCTGTTCAAGAACAAAAACAGTGAGTAAATAATGCTGGGGCGTCCGGGGAACAATAGAGCGACACTTTTGTGTGTCTCATATCACCGCCGTGAAACCGAAGAAGACGACTGGAAATTCGATCGGCCTGTTTTTGTTGGGCAACTTGACGCATATAAAGAGCCATTTAGCGGCGGCGGCAAACTTTATATTCTCACTCGGAAGGTGTGAATTTTTTTGTTTTATTATTTGCCTCTGTGCGTGCACTTTTGCTTTTTTTGTAACAATTGAACAGGCCACTTGACGTAAAAAGGAAAAACCAGACTTCATGGAAGCAGCTAGAAAATCTTTCAACAGCATATAATAAAATATATAAACTGTGTTATTACGGTATTTTTTCAAGTTATGAATTTTTATATATTTTTTCTTTTTTTTTACCCACAAAAATTTAATTTTAAATTTTTATCCTGAATGCAGGGAAATTTCTTTACAAATTTCAGCAAAGAAACAAATGAGTAATATTTTAATACATAATTTGATGATTTTCTTGAATTTCACCTCTGCAGAAAGAGTAAAAATATTTTTACTTTTAAAAGAACCCTAAAATTTCAACAAATGTGGTTCCTGCTGCAAATTCAAAATTTACTTCTTTTTCCATATTTAATTGATCTTTTTTATTTTTTAGTAAATACTGGGGATGGAATTGACTACAGTCAGCACAAACGACAAAACATTGGCGATTTGGTGCAAGAAACTCTGGAAGTTCTGGAACGCTACGGTGGCCAGGACGCCTTCATCAACATTAAATACATGATTCCCACTTATGAATCTTGTTTGATTGTCAGTTAGAAAAGTTATAGAAATTATAATTACAAAAAGTGTTTGTGTTTTCTTTTCCAATCAATTATTAAAAATACAAAACTTGTAACCACGCCGACGTTATTCTAAAGTTGAGCTCAAGAATTCTGTAAGTATAATAGACTGACAAGTTATATAGAACGGATTTTTGTAACTTTCTCAATGTCATTCAGCACAAAGTACACAAATGGCTCACAGAGGTAACTTTGTCCCAGTGGAGAGAGAGTGCATTTGAAAAGCAATTCCGCTCTAGGACGAATAAAGAATTATTGCAAAGCATTCAGCTCTTGATCGTTTTATTTCGCATGAAATTGGTCGATTCAGAAAATGGCACACGGTCCGTTTCCTTAGAAAGAAGTAAGCAAAAAAATTGGCGGAGAAATAAATAATTCTCCTTTTCTGATTTTTCGTAGAATTTTGCTGAGGAATTTTAAGCGGCACATAAGTACATGAATGTTTCATAAATCGAAGAGAGGCGGTTATTGTAAAACATGCAAAACACCATTGGCAGTGTGATAAAATTTATTTAAAACATTTTGAGAGAGTGGTGCGAAATTCACAATTTTTGAATAATTTATTCGAGCCATAAATTCCTCCTTCGGTGACGCTCGCTCGTCCTTTCATGAATTATGAAAAAAACTGTTAGGTACAAAAAAAAGTGAGCCGAAATACTTCAAGTCGGCCAACAACGGGAAAAAGTTTTTTTTTATAAATAATTTTTCCTCTTTCACCAGCAGTTTTCCGCAGCCGTGTGGCTCTCTGCGCGGTCACCTTCAATTATTCCCGTCAGCAAAGCATTTGAAAGTCGAATAAAGCAGCGCGGACTGTTATAGAGCATCTATCACCTACCGCGCGGGAGCGATCTCATCGAATAAATTCAGTCTGCAGCATTTTTGTGTGTCACATCGTCATCATGCAAATCGCGGGCAGACTCGGAAATTGGCGCTCATGCAAATTCGGGGCAAAAAATCATCCCGGCCTCCGCCAGTGTCTCCCGTGATTTGCTCGCTGTTGCTATGCCGCCCTTTTTTTCTCGTTCCGCCGTCACGTGGTAATTAATTCCAACCGGCTCTATGCCGTGCATTACCATAGATCTAGTTTAGCAATTGGAAAACTTTTGCTAGCTAGGGGACATATCGATTTGTAATTCATTTGTTCTCTCTTTTTGTGTGACGCGAAAGCGACTCCTCCGTGTTCAGTGCAATGAATGCATTTTTCCGCAGGCTTTTTTTTCTGTTTGCCGAGAGTAGAGATTTTGTTATTGACACGTGCGCGCAGCCGGATATGAAAGGCCTGCTCGTTACGATTGTGGTTTACACTGGTTGTTTGACAGCAGCCGATCGAATATTGCTACACTTTTTATTTGCTGGAAAGTGAGGAAAAGCGCTAAAACCAAATGAGATTTTAGAATTTATAATAATTTATATACTTCCAAATTTTTTAGTTTTATGATTTTTTTTTAGATAATTGAATATAATAAGAATAATATTTTGCGTGACCATTTTTTTAATTTACGTATTTCAATTTCTGAAAATTAAGCTCATTCCTGATTTTACTGATTTTTTTATTTCATTTTTGACCAAAAGCTTCAGAGCTGAAATATCAAAAGAACTGAAAAAAGTTTAAAGTAAATTTAGAGACCAAGTTTGATTAATTGAATTTTGACTAAGAATTTTCCAAGCAACAATTAATATTTTACTCCAATATTGACAACTATTTTGATAGAAAAAGCAACTATAGAATTCAGCTTAGAGTGTTTAAATCTTTTCTGAACGCAATTTTTTTCTTCGAATTTCCAGCAATGAGACAATTTCTCAATGGAGACAAAGGCATCAATTACGATAAGGAAGGGAGGCAGAAAAAACTTGAAAAGAGCGCGCAATGAATCTTCCATTATCTCTCTCTCTTTTCTCAAGAGACCTGTTGCTTTTTCGACTGGGCTCTTTCCTCCCTGCTGATTCTCTATCACACTCTATATATCATACCATCAATTTGCGAGGGCGTTCAAGCTCAACCAACTAAATTTCCTCATAGCAACCTCAAAATTGTAATAAATCTCTACTTTAAATAATTTATCATCTGTAGCAAGATATTATCAGAGAAATTTCATTTTTTTACATTCTGATAATATAAAAATGTGTTTCAAGTAAATGAATAAAATTAGAATAAACGTTGATTCTTTGTAAATGATTTGCAGACTGGTGCAGTGTTTTAGTTCACTTCTTGCGAATCATTTTTTAAATTTTTTTACCGCAATTCCTTCAATTTTCTAGCAGATTTTTTATCCCTCTATGAATTTGGCAATTGGTAAAAAGTTTTTAGGATTTTGAAAGAACTTATTTTAATTTTATTAATAAAAAAAATTTACCTTAAAGAGTTGGTTTTCTACAAAAATCGGCGCTGTAATAAATCATGGAAGAAAAATTTTTTTTATAATTTTCCAAAATAAAGAAAAATTAATTATTTCACAGAATTTGTATAAAATTGTGAATAATTACTTTCTTGGGACTTAACTCTTTAAACAGCATAAAATTGGAGAAACTGGTGGTGCCGTTTAGTCAAAAAATACGTTTTATTTTTATTTTGTAGCATAAAAAATGACTAATATTTTAGACAAACAAACAAAAATATTAAAAAAAACTTTCAAAATTATCACCGCCATCACCAGTTATTTAGAAAAGAACACCTGAAAAAAATCAAACTCCAATTAAGAACTTGTTTGCTACATTAGGCGAAATTTTTTGCCAATGTTAAGAAAACAATTGGAAATTTGAATACCATTGTTGTAAAGATAAAGGCTTAATTTGAATGTCAATATGAAGGCCTTAACAAACCTTAACTCGACGTTTCTTTCAGTTAATCAATTTGGCTTCTCGGCAATCGCCACGAAAACATAATTAAGTCAGCAAGCATTTTTCTTTCCATCGATGAAAACTCCCCATTGAGTCGTTTGCGACAATGGCTTCCGCAAATGAAAAAGACCTTGCCAGCCAGTAATGAATAGAATTCCAGCAGCGAAGGAACAGAAAGAAAGACACAATTAGATTGGCAATTCTCCCCAGAGAAGCTTATTTCCTCTGAAGGGGCGGCGAGCCAGGCAAGGGTTTCCTTCACTGGGGCTGCTGCGAACTTTCCTCGCGCGACCGGTCTCTGCTCAAAACACATTCAGCCGCTCTCTCGTATTAATTTTCCAACATACCATATATATCTGTGCGTATAAAACTGTGTAAAAACTTTTCCAAGCTTCCAACTGAGGACAATTAATTACGAGTTGGCGAGTAATTGGAAAAGTGCCGCAACATGCAGACTTACGAATGAATAGTTCGGAATAATTTCCTCAGGCTATAATAAAACTTATTGTCAGCAACAACTGCTGGTATTTTTTTAAAACGTCGAAAAACATGCTTATTAAAATGAATTTAATTAATGGAAGTTTTTGTTTGAAGATGAAAATTATATTGAAAATTTTGTATGAAGTTTTCAACACATTGATGGCGGAGAATAACTCTCCAATTTATTTCATCTTTGATTGTTCGAAAACGTTTTTCGGTTTTTCATTTTGAATAATTTGCTGCTAAATTTCAAATATAATTTAGATTTTTTTAATATGCAGAGTAATTTGCAACCTTTTTATTGAATTTATTTATAAAATCACCCATTTTTACCCAACCAATTTCTTCTTTCTTCATTTCAAAATTTAGGCAGCATCAACGAAACACTTCTCCGAGAAACCCCATAACTTCTGAACCACTTGGAATTTTTTATTTCAAAATTTGTCAATCAACTAAATTTGACACACTGAATTCAATGGATATTTAAAAAAATATCTTGAAAATTTACATCCTTCTTAAAATATAAAATTTTATATTTTGGCGTTTTTTTTTTAAATTTCGAAAATGAATTAACTACATAAACAACAATTGCGCAATGAAAGTTTATTTCTACAAAATCATACATAAGTTTATATTTTTTCAGTTTAAATTTTATGAGAAAAATGGAACTTTGCAAACCCGTAATTATTTCCCAAATTTGAGTTGTTAATATTTATATCATATTACATTGAGGGGTAAATTTAATTAAGTTTCTTGTGAAATTTAATTTTTCAAGTAAGGGAACAGTTTTTCCAGAGCGCTCAATTAATTAAGTTGGAAAAATTCAAATTTGTCAGTCACTGCATTTTGCAATCGCGTCCCTTTTGTGTTGCTTAAATGGAGGGAAAATGAAAGGGGCGGAGTCAGTAATTGTTTACAAAGGGACAGGTAATGTTGTAATGTCAGTGTCAGTTCCAAAAAAGGTCCCAAAATGAGTGTGTTTTCTTTGAAAAAGAAAAAAATCCAGCGAAGTCAGATCCCGGAGAAGCGACGAGTGGCGGCCATCAATCATCGTTCCAGGTAATTTTCAATTTGAACACGATTTCGCTCCTCGCCAACTGACAATGGGCTCAAATGCGTTATCGCTGGGAGCCTCCAATTGATAAAACTTGTTATCGCTTGGAAATTAAAAGAAAATGGTACTCACTTAAATGATGGAGATGTTCGGCTGGAATGTCTCCTCCGACGAAGGGCGATCTTTGCAGATCTCGGACTGAATTTCGATGAGCAAAATCTTATTACGATGCTTGCTGAATGTCGCAGTATGAAGATCAGGGGCGTGTGTCTGTCCTTCAAGTATGAATTGTTCACTTTTCACACACTGAGACGAACACGTTTGAATTGTTTTTGGAACGCACTTCTTTTGCAAAAACAACTCAAAGTAGACACGACTGCCAGACAAATAGTTTATAGTTGTTTTGGTTTTTGCTGCCAAAGTTGATTGAAAGTCAAATTGAAATCAACAAAAGTCTGCACACGTCGATCACTACAAAAATAACACCACTTTTCTTTTGATGTAATGAAAATAAACAGCAAAAAATAATTGAAGAGGCCGACAGGGGTGGCGCTGCATGCGATTTCAGCATTACTTTTTTTTTGTTAGAAATAAGGATAAGGAGAGTGGATGAGACGAGACGCATTTTAGGGTTTATGTTAAGTACCAGTTTTCAAGCAATTATTGCGCTGTATTTTCCCTCTCTTCTAAATGCACTGTTTTGCAGAAGAGTTTTAAGGAAATAAAATAAAATTGAAAAAATTGTAGCTATAAAATCAAATGAGCAGTTCAAAATTTTCTTTATTCATAAAATTTTTCTGTCAAAATCGGAAATTAGTCGCTGTGCCCAACTGAAAAGCCAAGAATTAATTTCATGGTATTTAAATAG